AAAAAGAAGAAAGAAAAAAATGGTTAGTACCGTTCCAAAAGAAATAATTAACAACACACCCATAAAAAACTTACCACGAGTCCGTTTCAAGAAAAGTCTAAGCTGATTCCTAAAAAAAAAATGGTTAGTACCGTTCCAAAAGAAAGAATTAACAACACACCTATAAAAAACTTACCACGAGTCCGTTTCGAGAAAAGTTCAAGCCGATTCCTAAAAAAAGAAAAAAAAACGGTTAGTACTGTTCCAAAAGAAGAATTAACAACCCATTAATAAAAAACTTATCACAAGTCCGTTTCGAGAGAAAGTCTAAGCCGATTCCTAAAAAAAAGAAGAAAGAAAAAAATGGTTAGTACTGTTCCAAAAGAAATAATTAACAACACATCCATAAAAAACTTACCACAAGTCCGTTTCGAGAAAAGTCCAAGCCGATTCCTAAAAAAAAATGGTTAGTACCGTTCCAAAAGAAAGAATTAATAACCCTACCCATAAAAAACTTACCACAAATCCGTTTCGAGAGAAAGTCCAAACCGATTCCTAAAAAAAAAAAAAAAGAAAAAAATGGTTAGTACCATTCCAAAAGAAAGAATTAATAACACACCCATAAAAAACTTACCACTAATCCGTTTTGAGAAAAAGTCTAAGCCGATTCCTAAAAAAAAAGAAGAAAGATAGTACTGTTCTAAAAGAAAGAATTAACAACCCACCCATAAAAAACTTACCATTAGTTCGTTTCGAGAAAAAGTTCAAGCCGATTCCTAAAAAAAAGAAGAAAGAAAAAATGGTTAGTACCGTTTCAAAAGAAGAATTAACCTGTCTACCTATAAAAAACTTACCGTAAGTTCACTTGAAAAGTCCAAACTGAATCCTAAAAAAAGAAGAGAAAAACGGAGTGGTTAGTACCGGTTCAAAGAAAAATATTAAACCTACTTTGAAATGGCAGTTCATAACTCGGGTAATTAAAATTTGGATTATTTACGAGCGAGGTTTATGTCGTCTCACTTCAGAGGTTTCCCTCCTGATCATCATTAAGCACTTTTAAAGATTTAGAAGAGATGAAAAGCGAAACCCATCCTCATTTAGTAGGTTTTGCTTATTTTAAAAAATGGAAGAAGAGAGTAAGTCAAAGAGATAAGATAATTAAAGAGTTAGAGCAAAAAGGTCAACAAAGAGAAGGAGAATTTAAAAAG